TCTCTAGTTACAGGGAGGTATTATGTATTCATTCATCTAGTTACAGGGAGGTAGTTTCCCTTCATTATGTATCGTTCTTTTGGTCTCCTGTCACCTGTTCCATTTCTACTACTTTACATTTGCTTGTGCTGAGCTCTACTGGCTGCTTCTCGGACCAATTCTGTAGTTTGACTAAGTCATCTTGGAGTATCTTGCAATCTTCATCTGTCTCGATTAAACTCCTGTGGTTAGGTCATTAAGATAAATGAGAAATATTATATTACATCACTGATTCCTGAGGTATTTCACTTGTTACTGTATGCCAGTCCAACTTCTCGCCCCCCTCATTGTGACTCTGACTCCTGTCTGTTAGGTACTCCCTTGCCTATGCCAATGTATTTCCACATACTCCAGCCTGCCCTCTCAAGTTTATGCAGTAGTCTCCTGTGTGGAATTATGTTAAAATAGATATGTACTATGTCAAAGATTTTTTGGCAGTCCAGAAATACACAATGTGCTCGATCTTTTTAACTAATCATATCCTAATTATGCTTTCCAGTGCTTTGCTGTATTAAAAAATTCCTCTCCAGAACTTCCACGATTTTTGCTCTCCATGTTGCTTCAGCACCATGGAGGAGGTGTCTCGATTCCTAATCTATCTCTATGAATTAGGTCGCCCATTATTAGTAATTTAACTCTAATTCTATGTGCTGCTGTTGCTGGCCTTTGCAATGCCTCATATAAGAGTCCTCAAATAAGAGTTATATGAAGTGCTGTTTGCATTGCTTTGTTGCAGTTTAGGAAGTGGTTGGTGAAGAGAGAGGGGCGAGGGGGCAGAGAGGGCATGGTGTGTATTCACCTTGTTATGCTTGCGGGGTTGAGCTTCACCTCTTTGGTCCCGCCTCTCAATTGTCTATCAACTGGTGTACAGGTTCCCGAGTCTACTGGGCTTTATCATATCTACATTTGAAGCTGTGTATGGAGTCAGCCTCCACCACATCGCTGCCTACTGCATCTGTTAACTACTCTGACACTGAAAAAGTTCTTTCTAACGTCCCTGTGACTAATTTGGGTACTCAGTTTCCACATGTACTCACCTATTTGTACTCACGTATTTGTGTCTGCAGGATCGAGCATTGACTCTTGAATCCCGCCTTTCGAGCATCGGTTGTTTACAGCAATGACTCCGGTCCTATTTCCCTATCATACCTAGTTTTAAAATTATGAATAGCATTTGCTTCCACAACCTGTTCCTTAAGTGCATACCATTTTTCCACTACTCTCACGCTAAAAGAAAACTTCCTAAGATCTCTGTGACTCATCTGAGTTTCCGGCTTCCACCCATGTCCCCTCGTTCTGTTACTATTCCGTGTGAACATTTCGTCTATGTCCACTCTGTCAATCCCCCTGAGTATTTTAAATGTTCCTATCATGTCCCCCCCTCTCCCTTCTTTTTTCTAGTGTCGTAAGGCACAGTTCCTTCAGGCGCTCCTCATACCCCATCACTCGTAACTCTGGGATGAGTCTCGTTGCAAACCTCTGAGCCTTTTCCATTTTCCTTATATGCTTCTTCAGATGGGGACTTCATGATGGGGCTGCATACTCTAAGACTGGCCTCACGTAGGCAGTGTAAAGCGCCCTAAATGCCTCCTTACTTAGGTTTCTGAATGATGTTCTGCCTTTTGTCAGTGTAGAGTTCACTGCTGTCGTTATCATATTTATATGGGCTTCAGGAGATAGATTAGGTGTTACGTCCATGCCCAGGTCTCTTTCTCGCGTCGTCACAGGTAGGCAGTTCCCCTTCATTGTGTACTATCCCTTTGGTCTCCTATCACCTAGTCCCATTTCCATAACTTTACATTTGCTCGTGTTGAACTCCAGTAGTCACATGTGTTTCCACCTGTGTCCCCTTGTCCGTGTACTACCCAAGTTAAACAGTTTATCTTTATCTACCTTATCAACATGTGGGTGTGTACTCACCTAGTTGTGCTTGCGGGGGTTGAGCTCTGGCTCTTTGGCCCCGCCTTCCAACTGTTCAACTGCTTTTTGTTTACCCCCCCCCCCACACACACACAGACCACCACCACCACCAGGAAGCAGCCCGTAGCAGCTGTCTAACTCCCAGGTACCTATTTACTGCAACCTGCTCTCGCACAAGACAACACATGTATGACTTATTGCTTATAGTCACTATTTCGCTTATAAATAAGTATATGTGTGACATATTCCAAGCCATATTTTTTTCAAGGCACTAACTTTTTCTCTCAGTTTTATTAAACAATAGAGATTTTATACAAAATTTGACAATATCCTGAGTTACTTTACAACTTATTTAAATATTTTAGTTTTGTTTCATTATTTTTATAAAACTGTAATATCAATATAGGTATAGGTTCAGTACTAATTGTAATATCTTAACATACTAAGAAGGTTAGGTTAGGTTGCGGTTTTCTATTCAGCTTTTCAAGATAAACTCAAATATTAGCAATAAATTAGCATGTCACATATGCACTTATTCATAAGCAAGATATTGACTATAAGCATGTGCGAGAACGGGTTGATTTACTGCTAGGTGAACATGGACATCAGGGTGAAAGAAACTCTGCCCATTTGTTTCCACCTCCGCTGGGAATCGATCACCGGACCCTAGGACTAAGAATCCCGAGCGCTGTCCACTCAGCCGTCAGGCTCTTGTGTAGGCCCTGTGTGTGTGTATATACATGTTTTAATTATTGCTTCACCATAACATCCTATCCCTGTCCAGGTTATTGATACCGCTTTGGATCTTTTACATCTGGATCATATCCCTGCTAACTATCCATTCTTCAAGTGACATGCCGTTTAACTCTCGTGGTTTGCCATCATAACTCACCTTCCTTAACTTGGCTGCGAATTATATTATAAAATAAACATTTTTCTATACTTACGAAGCCTTTCAATATAATTGTTTGTTTTACTTTATCTTCGGAGGACGAGAGAGAGCAGTGCCACTCGTCCTGTCAGTGAACACAGCTGTAATATGTTCACTCTCAGGATGAGTCAGGCTGCATGTTCAATTGATATGTTCATCCAGTGATTATCTGGTTGACTCATTAACTCAATTGTCCTCTCCCTGAGGTACGCCACTTGTTAACTGTATGCCAGTCCAACGCTGCTGCACGAAGCTATCGCGACGTCATATGACTGGTTCATATACTCGTGATATTGCATTTGTCTCGTTGAAGTCTATAGTAACCATTTGAACATCCACGCCGGAAGTGTAGCTTTGGCTACATTTAATGTTGAGGTGAGGCACTTACATCTAAGTGGAGTGTTGTATGTGCTGAGACTCTCAGCTGCTGGGAGGTAAACCCCGGTAGCTGGGAGGTAAACCCCGGTAGCTGGGAGGTAAACCCCGGTAGCTGGGAGGTAAACCCAGCAGATGGTAGGTAAACACCGATAGCTGGTAGGTAAACCCAGCTGCTGGCAGGTAGACCCAGCCACTGGGAGGTAAACCCAACAGCTGGGAGGTAAACCCCGGTAGCTGGGAGGTAAACCCCGGTAGCTGGGAGGTAAACCCCGGTAGCTGAAAGGTAAACACCGGTAACTTGAAGGTAAACCCGAGTAGCTGGGAGGTAAACCCAACTATTTGGATGTAAACCCAGCTACTTGGAGGTAAACCCAACAGATGGGGGTAAACCCCGGTAGCTGGGAGGTAAACCCCAGCAACTGGTAGATAACCCAGCAGCTGGGAGGTAAACCCAGCAGCTGTGAGGTAAACCCAGCAGCTGGGAGGCACACCCAGCAGCTGGGAGGTAAACCCAGCAGCTGGGAGGTACACCCAGCAGCTGGGAGGTACACCCAGCAGCTGAGAGGTAAACCCCAGCAGCTGGGAGGTAAACCCCATCAGCTGGGAGGTAAACCCAGCAGCTGGGAGGTATACATTAATAAAGCTGCAGCTCTGGGGGCCCGCCATCACTCAGCCTGAGCCAGGCTCCCCGTATTATGTAAATACGGACCTAATTTAAATTGCTGCGTACTAAGTAATCTCACGAGTATTAGAAAAAGCCATAATGAACTTTTATTACGCCTTAATCATGATTTACCGGTCTAATTTCGCCTAATCATATGATGAATGTGATGAATAGTAATTAGGGAATAAGCCATTGGGATCCGGCAGTAGGCGGGAGCCTGTTCCCCCCCTCCCCCCCCCCCCCCTGTCCCACATCCCCTCCCCCCACCCTGTCCCTCCCCCCCTCCACATCTCCCCCCCCCCTCCTCCTCTCTCTGATATTACGCGATAAATTTGGATAATACTCTTGCTCGCTTGAGTTTTTTCTTGTTGTTGTTTTTTTTTGGCCTTTTAAAAGTCTATGATTCAAGCATCGGGTTTGTATTCCCGGAGGAATATTTATCTTTTCCCTACAAAAGATATCAAGCAAATCTTTTTTGGATTTTTTTTTTGGGGGGGGGCTAAAAAAAGTGATTCTATGTTGTTGTTTTTTTACGAGGACACAAAATATATATATTTAAAAAGTATGTTGTCACAGTGCGTTAATTCTTATTTTGTTTTTATAATGAGAGGGAAAAAAATGTGTTGAAGTTAAAAGTATATTGTGTCGAAATGTTGGATCTCTTGTGTCGAAATGTGGGACCTCTTGTGTCGAAATGTTGGATCTCTTGTGTCGAAATGTTGGATCTCTTGTGTCGAAATGTGGGACCTCTTGTGTCGAAATGTGGGACCTCTTGTGTCGAAATGTGGGACCTCTCGTGTCGAAATGTGAGACCTCTTGTGTCGAAATGTGGGACCTCTTGTGTCGAAATGTGGGACCTCTTGTGTCGAAATGTGGGACCTCTTGTGTCGAAATGTGGGACCTCTTGTGTCGAAATGTGGGACCTCTTGTGTTGAAATGTGGGACCTCTTGTGTTGAAATGTGGGACCTCTTGTGTCGAAATGTGGGACCTCTTATGTCGAAATGTGGGACCTCTTGTGTCGAAATGTGGGACCTCTTATGTCGAAATGTGGGACCTCTTGTGTCGAAATGTGGGACCTCTTATGTCGAAATGTGGGACCTCTTGTGTTGAAATGTGGGACCTCTTGTGTTGAAATGTGGGACCTCTTGTGTCGAAATGTGAGACCTCTTGTGTCGAAATGTGGGACCTCTCGTGTCGAAATGTGGGACCTCTCGTGTCGAAATGTGGGACCTCTTGTGTCGAAATGTGAGACCTCTTGTGTCGAAATGTGGGACCTCTTGTGTCGAAATGTGGGACCTCTTGTGTCGAAAGGTGGGACCTCTTGTGTCGAAATGTGGGACCTCTTGTGTCGAAATGTGGGACCTCTTGTGTCGAAATGTGGGACCTCTTGTGTCGAAATGTGGGACCTCTTGTGTCGAAATGTGGGACCTCTTGTGTTGAAATGTGGGACCTCTCGTGTCGAAACTTGGTACCTCTCGTGTCGAAATGTGGGACCTCTCGTGTCGCTTTTTTTTCTGATTTGCCCGGGAACCGAATCCAGGTCCGTGGAATGTGATACGCGATCGATCGTTGTGTGTGTGTGTGTGTGTGTGTGTGTGTGTGTGTGTGTGTGTGTGTGTGTGTGTGTGTGTGTGCGTGCATGTGTGTGTGTGTGTGTGTGTCCCTCTGTCAACCACACCACAATAGTCTATGAAACAACTGAACAACCATGAACCAAGGAAACTGACCCAGCTGCCCAGACAGTTTGACATGTCTTCAAGATGAGAGGATCACTCTTCACCTCCTGGCTAGACATCATTGTCAAATTAATTTCTCATAAAAATTATATAAAAAAAAAACTTCGAACTTTATTGAATGAATGTTCACACAGGCACACAAGTGCTTGTGTCTCGCCGCCATCTTCATGAGGTGCGCAAAGGTGCGTGCGCTTCCTTCCAAATTCCCTTTGTTACCATGAGTTACCATGGGGAGCTATTGAGCATTTGGAAGGAATGTGTCCATCCACTTGGACTTGGAAAGGATGTGTCCATCCACATGGACTTGGAAGGGATGTGTCCAACCACTTGGACTTGGAAAGGATGTGTCCAACCACTTGGACTTGGAAAGGATGTGTCCAACCACTTGGACGTGGAAGGCATAAGTCCATCCACTTGGACTTGGTGTGGGGAAAGTGACCTTTGAGCTTTATATTTATTTAGTTTATATTAATTTATATAATAATTTATATTTTTCGATAGTAAACAGAATGATGTTTAAAGAGGAGTGTATGATTTAAAAATTCCCACAAATCGCTTCCTTACACATTCTGGGGAAGGGGGGGAGGTTATGGTGTGTATATATAGTTATTAATTAGTAGACATTCTCTACGGTATTAGACTACATATATTAGTAATTAATGGGGAGGCCTTACCTTGTACGGCTGATTTTTGGCCTAGACAATTAGATATGAACACGGATGATCTACGAAATAAACCTCGTGGGTGAGGCTAGCGTCATCATGTGTACTGGTTGTATTCACCTAGTTGTATTCACCTAGTTGTATTCACCTAGTTGTATTCACCTAGTTGTATTCACCTAGTTGTATTCACCTAGTTGTTTTCACCTAGTTGTATTCACCTAGTTGTATTCACCTAGTTGTATTCACCTAGTTGTATTCACCTAGTTGTATTCACCTAGTTGTATTCACCTAGTTGTATTCACCTAGTTGTATTTACCAGGTTTTATTCACCTTGTTGTATTCACCTAGATGTATTCTCCTAGTTGTATTCACCTAATTGTATTCACCTAGTTGTATTCACCTAGTTGTATTTACCTGGTTTTATTCACCTAGTTGTATTCACCTAGTTGTATTTACCTGGTTTTATTCACCTAGTTGTATTCACCTAGTTGTATTTACCTGGTTTTATTCACCTAGTTGTATTCACCTAGTTGTGTTTACCTAGTTTTATTCACCTAGGTAAATACAACTAGGTAAATACAACTAGGTAAATACAACTAGGTAAATACAACTTATTTATTCATGTGTTAAGGATGTTTCCCATTATTTGGTGGTGACATTAATAGCGACGTGTGGCAGTGATATCCCCCGTTTTCTACTGAGGAAAATTCCACTGTGCCCCATCTTCTATGAGTGATTACAGTACTATTTCTAGGGTTAATTTGTTATTGCAAAACAGCAGCAATATTATCTGCATATTGTATTAAATGGTAAATAGTGTACGTTTTTCCAACACTTGGAAGACATAGGTCCATCTACCAGGACTTGGTAATGATATGTCCATCCAGTTGAACTCGTCGGTACAGGGGAGGGCTCGCATCCTGCTGGTCGGCGTTCGCTTCCCCCATAGTTGAAGCGGTTAGGCACTATTTCTTCCTTTCGTCCGATCCCAGCCTCGTGTCCTCATTACCCCCCCCCCCCCCAGTGCCGTATAGTCATAGGAACATGAGAACAAGGAGTATGAGGAATATGAGGACAAGAACGTGAGAGAAGAAGGGTTATCTTGAGGTTATCTTGAGATGATGGGTGTGGGATAGGACGGACGGAAGGAATAGTGCTCAACAATTATCACCCGACGGGGGTCGGAGTGAAGCCGTCCTTGTCGTCGAAGCGGTTAGGCATACTCCATGTTAGTCAAGCTTAACTTTTGGTTTATTTATTTATTTTTTTCTTCTTCTTATAGCATCTCATGGTCTATAGTCGGTAGTGCGGGTGCCCGCGGTGCCTAGGGGACATGGATTCGATCCCAATGTATGATCTCTATAGTATGTCATTTTTGTAAAACATTTGCTCTTAAATATATATATATATATATATATATATATATATATATATATATATATATATATATATATATATATATATATGTATATAAAATTGTGTAACTAGCGTCAAAAGATTGTTACTTGCTTAGCTAAACAAACTAGAGGGTTCAGTTCCTGGACCAATTATGTATATATATATATATATATATATATATATATATATATATATATATATATATAGAATTAAACTATTAAATTTTTAAGACGGGTTATTTAATTATGTAGTTAACGGCACAATATATCGTAGATACAATAAATTGTAGATACAATATATCGGAGATGCAATAAAAAACCTTATATACGAAGTTAAAAAGCCTTGAGCTTTTCTCTTTAGCAAGAGTGGGGCAGCTACGGTGGGGAATTTTTAACTATGTTTTTATACACCCTGGGCGTTGCGGCATTAAGAATTGTTAATTATTTAGACAGCATTTAGCGGGAACAAATTGGCCTCGTTAATCCCCACCTCCTGGACAGAGGCGGGGAAATTTCCCTGGAGGGACCATGGGTAGTGGAACAGAAAATGGGAACTGGGGCTCCTACCTCCCCCTTGCTAAAGCCGGTCTTTAAAACTATGAATATTTAGAGAGTAAGCGAGGCGGGACCTGGCCGGTGTTTAGCTTGCTATGGGGCGTGAGCGGCGAGTGGCTTCAAGACAGACAGACAGACACAGACACGATCGCGGTAGCTGAAGAGAAGCTCACATTCTAGCAGGTAGTAGAGGTTAATTAACTTTTTTTTCAATGAAAAACGAAGGGAATGTGTGTTTGTGTGTGTGAGAGAGAGAGAGAGAGAGAGAGAGAGAGAGAGAGAGAGAGAGAGAGAGAGAGAGAGAGAGAGAGAGAGAGAGAGAGAGATGGAAATTATATTAGAACTGTGAAAAAGGACACAGGAAGGCACTGAACCAGTGAGGAGTAGGACCTGCTATCTAAGCCACAGGCCAGACGGTTATCTAACCCACAAGCCAGACGGTTATCTAACCCACAAGCCAGACTGATATCTAACCCACAAGCCAGACGGTTATTTAACCCACAAGCCAGACGATTATCTAACCCACAGGCCAGACGGTTATCTAACCCACAAGCCAGACGGTTATCTAACCCACAAGCCAGACTGATATCTAACCCACAAGCCAGACGGATATCTAACCCACAAGCCAGACGGATATCTAACCCATAGGCCAGACGGTTATCTAACCCACAAGCCAGACGGTTATCTAACCCACAAGCCAGACGGATATCTAACCCATAGGCCAGACGGTTATCTAACCCACAAGCCAGACGGTTATCTAACCCACAGGCCAGACGGTTATCTAACCCACAAGCCAGACGGTTATCTAACCCACAAGCCAGACGGTTATCTAACCCACAAGCCAGACGGATATCTAACCCACAAGCCAGACAGATATCTAACCCACAAGCCAGACGGATATCTAACCCACAAGCCAGACGGATATCTAACCCACAAGCCAGACGGATATCTAACCCACAAGCCAGACGGATATCTAACCCACAAGCCAGACGGATATCTAACCCACAAGCCAGACGGTTATTTAACCCACAAGCCAGACGGATATCTAACCCACAGACCAGATGGTTATCTAACCCACAGGCCAGACGGTTATCTAACCCACAAGCCAGACGGTTATCTAACCCACAAGCCAGACGGTTATTTAACCCACTGGCCAGACGGTTATCTAACCCACAAGCCAGTCGGATATCTAACCCACAGACCAGATGGTTATCTAACCAACAGGCCAGATGGTTATCTAACCCACAGGCCAGACGGTTATCTAATGAATGACCATCTGTCTAAACAACCAGTAACCGGGTTATCTAGTCCACTAGATGTCTAGCTAACCAGTCGGTCAATTATCTGGCCGAGCAGGCAATTAGATTCCTAGCGAACTAGCTAACCATTCTACCAGTTAAATACATAATCACCCAGCTTATAGTTACCTAACCAGTCTGCCAACCAACTAGCCAACTAGGCAATCATCTTTCTATCTAGCCCGCCGAACATCCACTTAACTAGAAACCTAACGAGCGAACTAGAGAACCAGCTATCCAGTCTCGGCTAACGAGGTAATCAGCTTACTAACCAGCCAACGAAGTAGCCCCCTGACACAACAAGACGCTTGCCAGTAACTACCGAACTAGCCAGCACACTAGAACTGTAAGACTATAGCCAGGAGGAGGAGGAGGAGGCAACGAGGGGGCATCGCTAGCGAAGTCTGGTGTCTTAGTGCCCCGGACACAATGCATGCAAAGAGCTTCGTTATAGCGAGAAAACAATGAATACCAAGAGCGAGAGTGGTGGTCCGGGGGTGGTTTCATGTATATATGCATATGATAATGGTGTTTCCCGGCGACCAGGAGGAAGCGGGCCCCCCAAGAAGTGGACGGCGGACTCTCTCTCTCTCTCTCAGTTAGCGTCTCTGTTAAGCTGTAGGTGTTTAGGTCACCTGTGCTGGGCGCTGTGCTTGCTGACAC